AGGTGGCAGAGTGGTTCCTCACACCTAAGCCTCACTGCCCTTGGCGGAGGTGAGAAGATTAACTTGTCCAGGGGTACAATTATTTTCAGGATTCTGGGAGGTTTCTAGCAAGAATTGGAAATTACAGGTAGATCCTATCCCAGGAAAGAATATTCTCTTCTAGAATGATCATCCTTTTATTGTTTGCTTTTGTTTATCAATTTTATGTGAATGTAACTACTATGGAAAAATTAGAAAATACCAACATGTAGAAAGAAAAAAATTAGGTGCCTAAAATATTACCACACAAAGATGATATATTTCCTTTCAGACATTTCATTTTACAAATCTGTATGAATATTGTATATATGTAACTGTTAGTGGAATCATTTTGTACACTTTGTTTTGCAACCTTTATCACTTTACAAAATATAGTGGATGTTCTATAATGTCAAAAAGTACAGATATACATTATCCCCCCACACACTTTTGGATTTTTACACATTACATGAGTATATGCTTGTGCACAAATTTTGAAAACATTAAAATAATAATTTGGCTGCAGGGTATTTTGTTTTACAGATTTACCTTAATTGGTTTAATGGACGGTCACTCTCTATGTGACAACTAGGGGTTTTACTTCCTTGGGATCATAAGTGTGCTTTTTTTATTCCATCAAGAGTTTTTTAGTAGCCCCAAACCTGATTGCCTGTTGGAATCATTGGAGACATTTGTGAAAAATGTCAGTTGCTGGATCCCATCCCAAGTCTTTAGAATCCAAAACTCCTGGAATGAAGCTGGGACCCATGTGTTTCTCAGAGTTCCTGCATTTAATGGAGCTGTTGCAGCCTGGTTGGATGACAAGGGGGAAGCCTTCAGGGTCTCATTGAGTCTCCAGGGCCCTGAAATCTTTGTGCATCATTCCTTCAGCTCACAGGCTGGTTCTGAGTCAGTGAGGTATGTATCTCCTCAAGAAATAGGATAGCGACTTGACCTCACCCAGTGAGCTGATTGAAAGTGGGAGTGAGATTCTGTGGCAACAAAAAGCAATCAAAAAGGAAAGTTTTCCAATGAATGAAGTTTAAAATTAATGTTAGTGGTAATATGGACACTTGAGTGTTAAACTAGACTCTGGAGGGAGGTGTGAGAGTTCTCGTTGGCTGGGGTGTGGGGCAGGAGAAGGGCAGGCGACAGGAGAGCAAGGGACTTCAGTGCGGGGTCCACGCGAGGAGCCAGCAGGTCCCTGGGTGGGAATGGGACATAATTACAGGATTTTCAGCAACCCCTAATTCAAAATTAGCATTTCCTACAATAATGAGTGTAGGCAACAAAGCACAGTAATATTACTAGTACCTGTCTTTGTCACTAATTATAGCTTTAAGTTCACTACTCCTTTGAAATTATGGTAGTTATTTAATCTGACATTAGACCTTGTTACATAATGTATTGATGAAGTACGTACATAGTAATATCACAGATTTATTTTTAAAATATTTTGAACACTACATTTTAATTTAACTGGTCTTCTATATGGTTCTATGTATTTAAAACCATTATTCTGAGAATGGCTTCACCAGATAGCCAGAGTCTGAGGTAAAGAAAGGGTTAAGACCTCTATAATAGAGACACTGCCAAAGTTAGAATGAAGTTGACTCCCTGAGGAGGTGCTGGCAAAAAAAAAAATGATGCCTTTTCTAATTTGGTTGGGGGCCTCTGGGGCACTGGAAAGCACTAGAGGAGTCTGAGGGGCCAGAGGTTAGGGAGTTCGTGGGGAAGGGTATTATATTCCAAGGACAACATTAAAAAAAAAAAATAAGTTCATGGAGAAAGTATGGGCAGATAGAGAAGCATGTAGCTGATTAATTTTTCATGTTCTTCATGTGGATTCACCGCCATTTTGACTTTCGGCTCTGAGTTCGGTTCTCAGACTTGGAGATCTCAGGGACAGGAGTTATAATTAACAAAGTTTGTTGAATGATAGTAGTCAGTTCTGGTGGAGAGCTAGGGAAATGAACATCTTTCTGGAATGCATTTTCTAGATGAGTGTTAAGTACTTTAAACTACTCATGCCTTTTGACACAGTAATTTCAATCCTAGGACTTTAGCCCAAGGAAATAATCTAAAATATGGCTTTCTGCACAAAGCTGTTCATTATAATTTCATTACAATGAAAACCAGAAATAATCAAGTGCTCAAAATAGGAAGATACACTGAGGAATGGGGTAGTCCCAGAGATGTGGAAGTGGGGTACAGACTGACAATCCCCAGAAGAGGGGGTGGGGAGGGAGAGAAACCACAGAACTTATGTGTGTGTGCATGAACTGTGGACATGGACAACAAAGCTAGGGACAGGGTGGGGAGGGGGGTATCAGTGGGGGGAAAGGAGAAACATCTGTGACAAAAATAAATAAATTATTAATTAAAAAATAAAATCAGAGCGTGGTAATGGTAAAAAACAAAAAACAGGAAGATATAGAATAAATTCTGGTATATCTGCATCATAGAAAATTGGCCATTGAGAATGTCTGTCTATAAGGGGCTTTTAATATTAGAGGAAATGCTTATGATAAATGCCAGATTAGATTTAAAACTTCATAGAGAAACTATTTCAACTGTGTAAAATATACAGTAAAAGGACTGGAAGGAAATACACCAAACATTTAAAAATAGCTTCCTCTTGATTATGAAGTTATGGGTATTTTATTTTCTGCTCTTTTTTTTTACTTTTTACTAACAGAACGTTCGCAGAATGTGTGTTAATTACTCAGGGAACATTCTTCTATCGCAGTAGTGTACGCAGACTCCGGAGCAGCAAGGGAAGCAAAGGGCTTCAAAGACCGACAAGTACAGTGAGCAGTGAGTCTCCTGTCTCCAGAAGTGACCACCCAGCCCCTAAAGTTTTTATATACATATGTGCACATATAGATTAGAAATATATTGTGATTTCCCACTTACCTAGGGATGTCACATTATACGTATTTTCCTGCAACTTGCCTTTTTTTCCCTCTTAAAAATGCCTTAGCTCTCTTTCCACCTTGGGACATGGAGCCCTACTTCATCCGTGGTGGGTGCGGCCTTGCACTTCAGGGTATGATAGCCACCGTTCGTCCGTTCCCGACTGTTCCCAGGCTGGTCCCAGGCCGGTCCCAGGCCCGCCAGGCTTCCGGCGCATCCCGCCCTCGTCCCCGCCCTCGGCAGCAGAGCTGCGGGAGCGCCTCTGCCCGGGGGAGTGAGACCGGCTCCCGGAGGGCAGACGTCCCCTGCCTCAGACACCCTGCGCTTCTGATCTGGACAGACATGGCCTGTAGTTGTTAAGATGATATAAGCTTGTGTCTTGTAACCAAAACCTTAGAATAACAGTGGCTTAAAACAAGGTAGTTGTTTACTTTCCTCTGATTCACAGTCTAAGTGTAAGCAGTCCAGGGCTAGCATGACGGCCCCAGTCGGGAACTCGTTTCTTCTAGGTTGTGCGCCACCATCTTCAACATGTGGCTCTAACCTTAGGGTCTGCGATGAGTGCTTTCACGCCTCCATTTGTACCCATTTTCTGGGAAGGGGAGGCGGAAAGTTTAGGGCAGAACCCAGGACTAGTCAGAACTTAATCATATTGGCCACACATTGCAGTGATGTGTGGCCAGTATGACAGGCAGCTTTGTGCCCAGCTAAGTTTCTGTTACTAAAGGAAGAAATCTCATAAAGCCATGCAAGACCTTTACACCACAAAACATTGCTCAAAGCCGGGATTTTCTATGGCACCCGGCCCGCGGGTGGGCCATCGGCGTTCTGTGCATCTCCTGGTCACAGCGCCCAGCCATTTGTCTACTTGATTGTTTGCCCTTTGTTCCTACTGACTTGTAGGCAGTCTTTGAGTATGGATATTAACCTCTTGCCTTTTATACGTGTTGTACATATTTTCTTAAACTTTCTTATATTTTATTTTTACTTTTGGTGCCTCTTGACATATTAAGGTTTCAAAAAAATATATAATCAAATCTCAGACTGTTTATGGCTCTGGGGTTTGTGTCTTGCTCCTATTATTTTTATAATCAGAAAAAATAACAAGATGTGAGAGAGACATATTGATTGGTTGCCTCCTCCATGACTCCAATGGGGGCCAGGGATCGAACCTGCAACCCAGGTACATGCCCTTGACCAGGAATTAAACCCACAACCCTTTGATCTGAGGGCCGACGCTCTAACCACTGAGCAAAATCGGCCAGAGCTCACATTCATTTTATATTCCAATACCCTCTTTAATAGGCTGTCTCCATGGAGCTGTTTGAGGGACCTGTGCTTTGAAAACTGAATAGGGCTTAGATAGATGGAGGGAAAAAGAGGAGGTGTTCCAAGTGAAGGAACGACGTAAGTTAAACCATGGCTGTAGTGCACACGGCGAGATGAGGCGTGTACGTTGGAAACTGGGAAATAAGCTGCTCATGTAGGCTGAAGACAGTTTTCAGAGAACAGGGTAGAGAATAAAAAGGGTGATTGCAAATAATATTGGTACTGCGAAGAAAATGTCCAATGTAGAGAGATAAGGAGCAAATTAAGTTACTAATGACAGGAAAATGGTTGATTAAATTAGAGTATTGCCACATGACAATACTAATATTGAATATAATCATTTTTGAAGGCTGCATGGAAAAACATGAAAATTATAGGTACAAAATTATTCAAAAGCACATAAAATTCTAATTGCGATTACAACTATTTAAAGAAATATGCATGTGAAACAACTAAAATACTTCAAAATTAGGTGAGATGTTTGGATGATGAATGATTATTGTTCTTTTTTAAATATCCTTATTTATTGCTGTCATTCTCTATAATATTTTTAAAGAGGCAGGTGTCAGTGGATCAAAGAATCAACAGAGACTTCTTAAGTCTTCTGTGGGTGAACTAGGGACCAAGGGCCATGAGCTGCTTGGGATGTGTGACCAAGAGAAAGGGGCCCACTCCAGGGCCTGCTGGTCCTTTGCTCTGTGGTCCTGGCGTGAGAAAAGTCCTTTCTTGCATTCCAGGGTCTCCTCATGCTGCTACAAAACCTACCTACGATACACTGGGGCAACGAAGAGATCGGGCTGCTGCTCGCCGAGGCGTACAGACTCAAGTACATGTTTGCTGACGCCCCCAATCACTACCGCCGATAGGTGCTGTCTCCCCGTGGGGACCCAGACTGCCCCCAACTCTGATGGCAATCTGATCACTGTGGCCACTGTTTGAGCCGTGGACCCTGGCCAGGAACCACTCCTGCTGTAAAAAAGCTCACATCCGCCGCCCAGGTCTTAACTTCTCGGCGTGCCTGCCCACCACTCCATGTCTCTGATGGGTCTCCTGGACCGCTGTCAGTATCCCGCCACGTGATGGGCCAGCTCTGGGAGAGGACTGAAACAGAGGTACAGGGTTGTCTGCCCCTTTCAAAGAAACTGGGCAAATGAAGGGGAAGGCTCAGGGTCTTAGCTCACTGTCCCTCCATGGACTGGCTGTCTCTTGCCTCCCAGCCCCAGCTGATATTGTTGCTTTTTGTGACATAGTTTGATTTGCTCACAAGTCAAAAACGCCTTATGTTTTCAAAAATATTCCTGGCCCCTCTCCCCTGTCCCCAGCCCCTAGCCCCTAGCCCTTTACCTTCTGCCCTGGTCTGAGCCAGTGAGGGGCCGCTTGTTCTCAGATGGAGGAGGCCTTCTCCCAAGGGCTAGGGATTTTATGTTTCTTTTTCTCACCGGTATGTGAGTGTGCATTTGTGTGGGGGGGTGTATACACACCCAGCATTTAGTTACATGTCTGCATTTCTTTGTCCAGTCCAGACCAGCCCATCACATCCCGCTAGGAAAGGCCCCCGTGACCAAGTGTACGAGCGTCCCTTGAGAAGGATGAGGGCAGGGGAGAGAGAAGGGTCTTTTTACCTCTCCAAATCCTTTTTCCATGATGACCCACTCCAAGAGATTATGTGTAAATTGTGTTATTATGTATATGGGTAAAGATGTACAAATATATGTCTTCTTTGTAGCAGATATGATTTTATATTTATAATGTGCATCAACATGTGAAAGCAATCTAGGTCACTAGCACAGGTGAAGTTGCCAGGCAGGTGGCTTCAGTGCCTCCAGGTTGGTCTCCGGGTGCCCTCCTGCGAGGGTGGTGGATGGGATCTGTAGGTGAGCGTTGCTGACCAGATATAGCTGCTTTGGGACCAGAGGCAGCCATGCCGAGCAGCAGTGCCTCAGAGCTGTTTCTCCTCCTCCTCTTCCCACCCCAGCCGCCTCCCAGCGAGGACCACAGAGGCAGAACCTTGCTGCATGTTTTCAGCCCCTGCCTTGCCCCAGAATCTGGGGAGGGCTTTGTTTTCACATTGTTAAGTCAGCATTGTATTCAGGACAGAAACTGTGACTGACTTAGTGCCAAGGAAGGGGTTTCCTGTGTGTCCCAGGGGTTTGGGCTCTTCTCAGAGAGAGGTATTCGAAGAGGTGTGACCCGTGTCGTTTTTGGTGTTCGGTAGTGGAGAAGTGGGCGAGGATGGAAAGCAGCTGTCATCTTCTTGGGAAGCCAAGCAGGTCCCCAGTGGTGACACGACACCCTTGAGTCCCTGCCAGCGGAGCCCACCAGGCAGGCATGTCCCGCCCCATCTGGAGCCTTCCTCAGGCTCTCCCTGGCCCCGCCCTTCCCCTCCAGTGTGCCTCAGTCTCCCACAGAGGGCCGGGACCGCCTCGGCTGGGCCGAAGAAAGACACTTTGTTCCCAAGTGGTGGGTTTATTTTTTTAGTTTTTATGTTTGTATGGGAAATTGTGGATAAAGTGAAAGAATTGTAAATAAATAGTGGATTTCCTCCTCCACTGCTGATTTTCTCCCATGGATTTATGTGACCTGGAACCTAAGGAGCCTCCTCTTCTGGGTTTTTCTGTCGACACTAGTAGGTGTGGGGGACGAGGCTTCTGTGGGGTGGGCGGGGGATCAACAAGGTAGGAAGGAGTCTCAGAGGACACCAGCAGACCTTCACTGCGCACCGCCTTGGGGGAGGAAGCTGGGAACTGAAACTCAGTGGTACCACGGTTCACATAGCTGACAGAGCACCCTGCCACGTGCCAGACTCTGGGACAAGCACTTGGCATAGATTAGTTTGTCCGAAAGGAGCACATCATGTAAAGGAGGTTAGAAAATGGACTAGAAGTTCAGTGTAGGACCAGATGCCTGTTCAACACTGGTTGGCCTGCAGTGTTTTCCCCACCAAACCATTTAGAGCTAAAATATGTTCAAAGACTGGCCCTCCATTAGGGTCTTCATTAGGTTTCTGTTTTTAGGGGGTCGTTGGTTGGTTTTTCTCTCACTAACCTGACTCCAGAGGGGCAGGTGGCTGCACTTTTATCTGTAGTAGCGATTGGAGTGGCTTCTTCTCCTGGAACTTCTTCCCAGGACTCATGTGAGAGTGTTTCTTGATTTCAGTAATTAGGATTACATTAAGCTACATGTACAGAAACCAAAATAACTGGCTCACAAAACTTGGGGATTTATTTCTCCCTCACGTACAAGTCCAAAAGTGGGCAACCCTGAGCTTGTATGATGAGTCTGTTTCACAAAGCCTGTAGGAGCCTGGACTTCTTCTCTGGTCTTCATGGTCAAGGTAGCAACTCGCGCTCTCTACCAGATCCACTTTCCAAGCAACAGGATGGATTAAAGAAGGGACAAAGGAAAAGAACGAAGGAAATTTGCCAGCAGTGTTTTAAGGAAGTTTCCAGAAAGCTGCCCCATAATACCTCCTCTTACAACTCAGGTCAAAACTCAGTCCCATGGTAGGTCACCCCTAGTTGCAAGGGAGGTTGGGGAATTAGTCAATTCCAGACAGCCATTTACCTGGCTCAAAGTCAGGATTCCATATCTGTGAAGGGAGAACAGATATTAGGATTCAGGGAGCAATCTCTGCTGTAAGAACTTAAGAAAACAAGTTGAGCCCTGGCTGGTTTGGCTCACTAGTTAGAGTGTCGGCCCACAGACCAAAGGGTCCTGGGTTCGAATCCGGTCAAGGGTGTGTACCCTGGTCAGTGTCATACAGGAAGCAACCAATCAGTGTTTCTCTCCCCACCCCTTTCTCCCTCCCACTCTGTCTGAAGATAAATGCAAAAATGTGCTAGAGGATAAAAAAAAGAAAATGAGTTGAAAATAGAGACCAGATTTGCCCATAAGCATATAGAAAGGATCTGACTTTGAAATTCAAGTAACTGTTCACAATTAACCTTGGAATTTAACTATTGTCGTGAAACATTCTGGTTTTTGCCTGGCCGGTGTGGCTTATGGACTGAGCATCGTCCCATGGACTGAGCGGTTCTGGGTCCATTCCCGGCAGGGCACATGCCTGGGTTGTGGGCTCCATCCCCAGTAGGGGGCGTGCAGAAGGCAGCTGATCACTGTTTCTCACATCAATGTTTCTCTCTCTCCATCTCTAAAAAATCAATAAAACATTTTTTTTTAATTATATTTTTTCTCTATGTAGGAAGTCAAGCATTTTTCTGAAACATTTTGATCATGATTAGAAAATTGATGAAAACTTGCAAACTAATTCTGGCACTGAACTACAGTGGATCCACTGTTCATGTAACCTAAATCTCTACAGTTCTACTTAAATAGGCCCTACCTCAGCTTTTATTCACCTGTGTAGGGACAGTGGCAGATTACTCAGATAGTGACCTCATTTGCTTCTTGAGGCAGGAGCCTCTTTCTGACAGCATTCGGCTTGTCTTGAGTTGGACTTTGCATGTCCAGTATCTTTGTAAAGCTTTAAGGATTGGAGTCAGAAACTAAGCCCCAGTAACTGAGCCCTTGATACCTCTTCTTGGGACATCCCAACACTCAATTTCCAGCTGGAGACTGTCCGAAGGAACGAAAGTACAGCGACCACCGAACCGAGAAGGTATCTTGAGACCAGAAAAAGAGGCAGGCAAGTCCATTGAGTATAACAGAATTTATTGTGGAGTAAGTTACAGGAAGATTGGGCTGGAGCAGAAGGTGACCCCACAGTCTGCACAGATAATCTGTGCTGCTAGATGGTTGTTACACTAAATGTTTATAGTATAGATGAACTACTGATGATCGACAAGGCAAAGGGACCATACCTCCTAGTGGTCTTATGATGGATAATTGCTTAGAATTGACCATGTATCTCAGTTGCTATGCCATTCTGGTCTTTTACTGATAGGAATCTCTATGGTTACATTGTATAAGCTTACAGGACACAACTAATCATTAAGTATGAGGCTTTCATGCTGGCTGAGACTAGCTAGGTCAGGTTCAGAACATGGAAATTCTAAAGAAATCAGGGGGCACATTAGCCCTGGCCGGTTTGGCTCAACAGTTAGAGCATCAGTCCCCGGCCCCGGTTGGGATCGTGTGGGTGGCAACCAGTCGGTGTGTCTCTCTCACATTAATGTTTCTCTCTGCTGAGACTAGCTAGGTCAGGTTCAGAACATGGAAATTCTAAAGAAATCAGGGGGCACATTAGCCCTGGCCGGTTTGGCTCAACAGTTAGAGCATCAGTCCCCGGCCCCGGTTGGGATCGTGTGGGTGGCAACCAGTCGGTGTGTCTCTCTCACATTAATGTTTCTCTCTCTCCTCCCCCCCCCCCCCCCCCCCCCGCTCTATCTGAAGATAAATGCAAAAATGTCCTCTGGTGAGAATTTTAAAAAAGAAAGATAGAGCACATTATATGGAGATAGATTTGGAAGCTGCCATAAACACCAAACAGGATTTTAGACTCATGCTGAAAAAGATGAAATTAACAGAAGCAAAATAGTTTATAGTCTATGTATAGTTTATCACTTCAAATAAAATGTAGAAACCTTACAACCAACAGATCCTTTTACCCTCCCCTTTTATATTATGGTTGTTACATGAATTATGTCAACATACATTGAAAATCTGACCAGATACTGTTAATAATTTTTGCTCTCAATGGTTAACACATATTTAAAAGAACTTAAGAGGATACATTTACCATTTATGTTTCTCCTTCATTTTTTAAGTTTTCCTCTGCTATTATTTCCCTTCAGCCTACAGAACTCTCTTGAGCATCTCTCAAAGAGCAGGTGTGCTCACAACTCTCCTCATTTGCCTTCATCCCTGTATGTGTTTTCTCTGGATATAGTTCTTTTTTTTTGGCATTTTAAAGATGTCCACTGTCATCTTCTTCCACAGTTTCCAGTGAGAAATCCAGTCACTGAAATCATATTTAATTCTTGTTCTATATTTAATTATTGATTTTTCTCAGATTGCTTTTCCAAAAAAAATGTGGCAAAATTTGCCATTTTAATCATTTTTAAGTGTACAGTTCAGTAGTGTTAAGTACATTTACATTGTTTGCGACTGTCACCACCATCTCCAGAACTCTTTATCTTGCAGAACTGGAACTCGGTACCAATTAAACAGCAGTTCCTTATTTCCCCTCCCCCCAGCCCTGGCAGTCACTCCTGTATTTTCTGTCTCTGAATTTGACACTTTAGGTCCCTCATATAAGTGGAATCATACAGTATTTGTCTTTTTGTGTCTGGCTTATTTCACATAGCATCTGTCCTCAAGGTTCATCCATGTTGTAGGGTATATCAGAATTTCCTTGCCTTTTTAAGGCTGGATAATGTTCCATTGTATGTACATACCACATGTTGTTTTTCCAGTCATTTGTCAAAGGTCAGTTGGTTACTTCCATTTATGGCTATTGTGAATGATGCCCTGTGACCCGGGTACAGAAACATCTCTCTGAGACCCTGCCTGCAGTTCTCTGGGGTAGACGCCCAGAAGCCCACTTACTGGATTACATGGTATTTCTGCCTGCAGTGTTCTGAGGAACCACCATCAGGCAGCTTTCAGATATTTTTTGCTGTTTCTTTGGGTTTCAGAAGTTTGATTATATGACAGAGTGTGGGTTGTACTGTTTTTTTGTGTGTTTTGGAGGTTTTTTGTTTTTTACATTTATCCTGTTTGGGATTCACTGAGTTTCTTGAATCTATAATTTTTTGTCTTTTACCAAATTTGAGAAGCTTTTAGCTATTATTTCCTCAAATATATATACATTTTTCCCTGGACC